CATACATAAACACACACACACACACACACACACACACACACACACACACACACACACACACATATATATATATATATATATATATATATATATATATATATATATATATATATATAAATAAACATACAGTATACTCATGTATATGTACACATACCTAAATAACGGATATAAGTATCACGGAAAATGTCGGGCTGCTTCACAGTCATAATTAAATTTCGGAATTTTATAACTAAAAACTATTGAATTCGGGGATAGTCGGTCCAAGTGAACATAGACCAATGTCAGAACGTTGCCTTATACACTATCACTATACGTATTGAGATATTGGTTACTTTTTTGCCTATGTTATTGTGCCTGCATACTCCTTGGATATGCCTTCCTTGTATACACAAGATAGCATAAATAAACTTCAATAACATTAACAAATAACAATACAACATATACCAGTAATACTACTAACCACACACGCTTTATCTGTTGCGCACGTGCCGAAGTCGGAGGAAGTCTTATTGAGCCTTAAAACATTAAACCCTATCTGTTTAAACCCTAAACCCTTTGCTAGTCTTTTGACCAGTATAATAAACGTTTCTAAATTTTTTCAAATTGTTTTTATATTATATAAATCAAATAAAAAAGCCTTTACGTTAATTTTACCCCTTTAACGGATTGAGCTTAGCGTTGAGAGTGTCTACTATATACAGCAAAAAAAAATTGGTCAGTGTTCGAACTGTGATGTGTTAATTGATGTATAAATGTTTTTAGGGGTTAACCGATATATATGTATATGTAGCCACAGATACAACTGTCTCTATGTATGTATATGTATCTACAGATACAACTGTAAGTTACTCGAAGTGTTGTATGTAGACAGTATACTCCAGAGGCAGCATTTGGAAGCTATGGGGCATGTGAAGTCAGCCCAGTATACAACTCGGAGTTGTATGATTCAATGTTAACGTTGAATGTTCAATGAATTATAGATCTACAGTTACTTGACGCGGTGAGCACACGTGTATTGAAAATTAAGCTAGAGGCTACTTGAGGAAAGTATTATACAGTATCAGCGACATACGGCGAGGACTTGCATACATCGCGTACTTTGCGTCGGTTGAATACTTCGCCCTGACTGCATACATTGCGTTCAATGCAGTAAAAACAAACTTTGCATTGAGACGCAATCGATGTAATATATGCAGTGTTTTGGAGTGTGGATGTGGTCTCAGGACACAGCAGATTAAATAGGTACATGAATAGTCCGACAGTTGATGTAGTTGTCAAGGTATGAACCGTCCCTGATCGTTGCACACATCACACACGTGCTGTATTTGTATCGATGACTGGGCGGGCAGTCAGGTTTGATTTGTATGTGCAAATCTATACCGTACAGTCTTACACACAGGTGTTTCGTTTCGGATTCTCTCGTGGACGTGTTATATGAATAATCGGATTTGTACAGCTGATACACATTCAAGTGGTCACGTGGTCGGCTTAGGTCCCTCCCTGCGGTATTGTCCAACGCTATCAATATGAGTGCGACAGACTGTGTTCACGGCAGTGATAGCTCATCAAGTACGGCACCCGTGCCCAATAGGGGCGTATCAGGCAAAAGCGGGACGCAAACCGGGATGTTATCTTCTCTGTATAATCTGGCTAGCCGACCGTTCGGTCATAAGCCCCGTAGTGATACGGAAGTAGCACACACCACACAGGAAAACGTGGAACAAGCACACGAGAGACCTCAGCCGAGCGATAGAGTGATAGCTCAAACACTCGATAGTAAGTCGCCTCGATCACACGATAGTCATCGAACACACGATGGGGAGATACCCCATCCACACGATAGGAGCGAGCACGGGAGCTCTAACCTCGGCCACACAAGTGCGACAGCCAGTTCACTCACTACTTCGGATCAGAATGACACAGAAGTGTGTGGGTTAGAGCCTCAAGAACGGCATGGGGAGACGCTGGCTGGGTTGGACATGACCGACGACGTGTATGGGCACGCCAACAGCACCAGTGCGAGCTCATCTGATTTGGATATACGCGGCGAGGACGACGACACGGACAGTGGGGAGGCGCTGCATCTGGGTGTGCACACGCAAGTGCATGCACACGATAGTCACACATTCATCCACCCGCCTACACGCACATACACACACGTAGACAGTGTCCATGGCAGCGATGGATCAGGCGCGCTGCTGCCCTCGCCCACACGAAAGGTGGCAGTGGATCGTACGATCACACACACAGACTCGTACAGCGGGCGTCACGAGGTTGGGTTGGTAGCCACAGACGCGCCAACAGAGAACGACGAGGATGAGCTCCAGGCGTGCAATCGTGCACGGGCGCTCGACCAGTTAGCACACCTACACGACACACGACAGGGGATGGCGTCTGTGCTTGGGGGTACCCACTCTGACGACGGGGTAGGTATGGACGGGAGTACGGGCCCTGGGCTGGAGGTGCCAGAAAAGGGTAGTGATAGTGGTAGTGCACCTGGTGTGTGTCCTGTTGGGTCTGAACCGAGACAGGCCGTGGGTGTACATGAGAGGACGGGGCTGAACGCAGCCGCCGCCGCAAACAGCGGGTGTGCCGGAGAGACGGGGGCCCGACCACCGGTAGGCACGTGTATAGTAGCAGACACAGACACCAAAAATGCCACAGACGACACGTTCGTATCCCCAACGCATGGGCATCAAGGGGACCACACACCCCACACAGTCAAGGAAACACCACTTAGACCCGAGGCTGGGTCTTGGGCCCATCTGAGGGATCACGTGTTCATCCTGTCGTGTTCGGGTAAGCCGATATTCTCGCGGCACGGAGACGAGAATGCGTTCGCGACGATGTTCGGTGCCATCGTGGGCATAGCCAGCATATCACACGACGTCGCTACGATAGGGGGACGGGTGAAGAGTATACGCGCGGGGGACTTGCTAGTACACGTGCGCATGTGTGAGCCGCTCATCTACGTGTGTGTGAGCAAGGGCAAGCATCCCGGCACAAGGCTAGGGGCAGGTACAGCTACTGGTAACGGAAACGCGGGCGGGTGGCTATCCGAGGCCTATCTCGCTACAAAGGCGAAGTATCTGCAGATGCACGTGCTGAGTGCTCTGTCTAACACACAACTGCAGCGGATATTCTCGCAGCACCGCAACTTTGATCTACGACGGTTGCTAGGCGACGAGCAAGACCCCGTCGGCATGCAACGGCTCAGGCGGCTGTGTCACCAACTGGATGTAGATCCACGGTATCTGATGGAGAGTATATCTGCGTTGCCCCTCGACCTAGGCATGCGGGAGAGGCTGGGGTGCTTGCTTAAGGAAGAGCGGAGTGAAAACGTTATGTTTGCTGTTGTTCTCACAAGTACGCATCTGGTGGCTATGCTCAGCCCACGTGGGCACGGGTTGGGGTCGAAAGATCTGCATATGCTGATGAATGCGGTGGGTGTGCAGGATGAACAAGCCATAGTAAGTACCCAGGGCCGTGAGGAGATAGTTAAGGTGGGCAGAGACAATGCTTCACTATCAGCTGGGGACAGTACAATATATACGGAAGATGGTGTGCCTGATATTAGTGAAGCAGCTTCGGGTGCGTCTAACAGGGCTGATGTAGTTGCTACAGGCGAATCAAGGGAGGATAGAGTCCTGGGAATGGGGCACACGGGTGATGAAGACCACTGGATGTCGATCTGTCTACCGGAATTCAATGACACAGGCTACCTGTACGCGCACGTGTCCCACATAGTTGACGGTAACCTAGCAACCGTGCATGCTGATTCACATGGTGACGGTTACAGTACGGCCATCACTCTCATGCTCATCAGCACGGAGAGAAACCCGGACACCAAGGCCGAACTTCGGCGTACGCGGAACGCTATAGTACGCCGGATAGAGTCGGAAGAGGGTATGATACATTCTCTGGTAACACGTGTACGCGAGGCCAAGGGTGCAGACGGGCATTACGGGACCAATTGCGGGATCATTCGACTCGCACCCAGCTTGGTATCACCAGATGATGATGCCAATGTGCATGATAGGGGGTGCAGCACTTCTGAGCAATGCGCCTGGTTTCATACGAACAAGTATAGCCTCGCGAAGCACTCGGATGGCCTACATCAGAGCTGTTCACGGACACACCGGAGCCACCGTAGAGTGCACAGGGACGAGTGTGCGTCTCAGAATGGGATAGCCACTCACGGCCAGACGACCACTCACGCCAAGGTCGATAGAGGTATCACCACCTGCGCTAAAAGGGTGTTCAGCGCCTCAGATAGGAGTCATATACGCATCAAGCACATGCGGCAGTACGTCTTTGTGTCGAAGCCCCACGGCCAGATGCTCACATCTCTCCCCGCACCCCCATACGCTCACCAGAACAGGCGCGAGAGCCTGCTGAGACTGTACGCCTATGTACGCGGCATCATGCAAGACCGCAACCTGGAGGTGTACTTTCATACCGGCACGGTTGAGTGTGTGTTGGGGCAGCACACGGTGGAGCACGAGTTGTACAGCATCTTCGGTCCGTTAGTGACCAAGAACCAGGCCGTGCTCGCTACGAACAGACTGATGGCGGGTATAGCACAGTATGAGAGCCAGCTGTTCATTATGAAGCCCCTGTTGTGGTAATGGCATATTAAGTGTCTGGCCACCTACAGACTGGTGGTGGGCTTATCATAGCATGAGAGCCAGCTGTTCATTATGAAGCCCCTGTTGTGGTAATGCCAATTCAAGTGTATGGCCACCTACAGACTGGTGGTGGGCTTTTCACAGTATGAGAGCCAGCTGTTCACTATGAAGCCCTTGTTGTGGTAATGCCACATCAAGTGTCTGGCCACCTACAGACTGGTGGTGGGCTC